GTCATTCAATTTGACCTGCAGGCATCTGTTTCCTCATGTAAAACATTTAAGATTATTCGCGACAAAAAAAAATGCCGATTTTGTTTCAATTAATAATGAATTAGACGCGTTTCTAACCAAGCACATCTCACCTTTTCATACGCGAACGGCTGAAAAAAATTGAAATCTCTTTAAACAAAAAGTGAGTGACCTAACTAAACAGTACATCCCTCTGAAGCAATCCGCTCTAATTCACAGCACCTTGGTTTAACACACGCTTTAAGGGTCTGCGCCATAAAAATAAATGGTTATTTCGGCGCGCAAATCTAACAAAATGTGCTGACTTTTTGCTGGCTTATGAAGCTGCTGATACGTAGTATAAAAAAGCTGTCGCACAATCAAAGCAGGAGTTTTATCAGTGAAGCCTGTTATCTTTTCTAAAAGATAAACCACGAACGCTCTGGAGCGCGGTCAGCGGTAGTAAATCCTGAGCAGTTAAACTTTGTAATGCGAATAATGTTCCTGTGGAGCTAAACGATTGTTGCAATGTCCTGAACGATGTGTTTGCTTCTTATTTTTCGCACACGACTCCTATCTATTATCCAACTGCTTTTAGCGCTAATTTCAGTCCTATGTTTCCTGCTAGTATTGATTCAATTCGTGGCGACTGTTTAATCCAGAAGCTTACCATTTCCGTGTGTGCTGGGATTGACAGCATTAATTCAAAGTTCCTGAAGAGGACCCGCCACCTATATATCTATATTATTTCCGAATTTTTTTTAGAATTTGCATTGTTGAGCGTTGCCCAAAGATTGTAAGGTAGGGAAGTTTGTTCTTTTGCATAAATCAGGTACTGCTCAGTCCCTACTTAACTACAAGCCCATATCATTGACTAGTGTGCCGTGAAAATTACTTGAACATGTAATTTACTTTCACCTTGCTGCCTTCTCGAGCCCAATTCTTGTTTTCTAATTGACAACATGGCTTCCAAAGGTAGTTTTCTAGTGAAACACAGCTCGTATTGTTTACAAATGACCTGTTAGTTGCTATCGATGCCGGGCTAATAGTTGCCCGCATTCTCTTATATTTTGCTACGGCTTTCGACTCTGTTTTGCACGACCTGCTCCCTTTGAAACTGAGTAAACTTCTTATTGGTCCTAACATCTTGGGCTAGATTAAATGTTTTTATCTAACCGCTAACAATAGTCTTCCGCCAATGTGCATAATTCTTCTACTACTCCTGTAAAGTCCGGGGCGCCACAGGGATCTGTCCTGGGCCTCTCTTGTTTCTACTCTACATTAACAACCTCCCATCGCAAATTTTGTCCTCTATTAAATAGTTCGCGGCTGATTGTGTACTGTACCACGTAATAACTGATGCCCAAGACTGTTTTTACTGCAGTCAGACCTTGATGTAGTTTCTTCCTTGTGCGCTAAATTACTAATAAAGCTTAATGTTACTAAATGTAAAAGCATGCGTGTTTCCCCACTCTTCAGAAACCTTGACTCTGACATATATATCCTCAAGAATATACCATTAGATGCTGTTGCTTCATACCAGTATCTTGGTATTGATCTCACTCATAGCCTTTCCTGGAACATGTACGTCGACAATGTTCCTAATAATGCTAATCTTATTCTTGGGTTTTTGCGCTGCCACTTTCGTTCGGCTAATTTTCAGGTCAAACTGCAATTATATAAATCCTTAGTCAGGCCAAAACTCGAATACGCCTGTTTTGTTTGGGATCCGGGATATGTAACATTATCACACATTCTCGAATCTCTCCAGAACCGAGCAGCCCGTTTTGTCCTTTCTAATTATATTCGCACTGGTAGTGTTTTATCATTGAAGACAACTTTGAACTTACCTCACCTGGCTTTACGCCGCAAATACTTCCGTCTTTGCCTCTTTTTATAAAATTTATTATACTAACCCAATCCTAAAGGATCAACTACTTTTTTCATCGGTCATATTGTCACTTTGTAATGATTCCAGTGTAAGGTTGGCACGCCGACATATGATACAAACATCTATTTTGACTCTCTTATTCCAAGAACATCTACCGATTGAAACAATCTCCCTGCCTCCATCGTGTATATGCAGGACGCCACATACTTCAAGAGGTTTGTCAACGATTGCATCTGTAAACCCACTCCTCTCTCAAGAGCCCCCTCGCCTTGAGGGTACGAAAATAAATTAATAAATAAATCTGAAATCTCCAGTTTTCTGCGATCTGTGGTTATATTAAACAAGCCCAAAATAAAATTTGTTCTACTGGTTCTTGAAACATGTGTGTTGGAAAATAAACATAATAATTTTCATGGAGGTAATTTGAGTAATGTTGACGTAATCGCGTTCCATTTCGCGTTCGCCAGATCCTGAGCATCACGCCGCCATGATCGGTAGAAAAACGTATTAAAGGGGCACTCAAGCAATTTTTGGGCAAGCTACTTTTTGGTGCGATGGCGTTAAGGAAGTGTCAGTGAATGAGTATCTTCAGTTTTAGAAGCCAGAACCGCCTATTAATCACGCAGGAATAAAATACATGCAGACTTTTTTCTGTACTTGCGAGGGCCAATGAAATTATCGTATGATTGAAAATTTTGGCCGTCTTTGTAAAGTTTTGCTGACAAAACAATTTTCAGTTCATTTAAAATGTTGTGGATGATAATTTCACAAGACAAAATATTTCTAGTTTAGAATACGCGATACTGCAATTATCGTTTCGCAAACAAGGGACTACGTTTTATCCTCGCCTTCCTCCGCGTGGGGTGAATTTCCCGTTCCCTCGAGATGCTCGGAATAGCACGCATCAAGAACTCTTTTCCTCCGGGTTTTCGGGACGTGCATTCGTGTCTGCCCGTCCTCCCGAGGCGAAATTCAACTTTGCGACATCGTTTGACATCACGTACCAGAGGTTCCGCTGCGATGCCAAACGTTTGTTTGGTTACGACTTGCCCCAACCGCAAATCGAAGAACGCCCGAAAAGGCCTGCGTTTCGTCGTCCTGCCGAAAGATGAACCTCGGAGAAGCACGTGGTTACGTCGCGCCGGCCGCCAAGGCGACACACAGAACTTTCCTATGACGCCCCGTTTTTGTCACGACCACTTCGACCAAAGTGAGTTCTTCTGCGCGGAGGACACGGGTCGTTCACGGCTTTGATGGAACGCGATGCCGACGCTTCTGCTTCCAGTCGAGGACGTGATCAAGGCATCTCCGCCGAAGTGCCAGAAAGTCGTAATAAGTTTTTTTTTTTTTTTTTTTTTTTGCGACATAGCTTTTGTGGGGAGCTCCGAAAATCTTAGAAGCCACGTGTTCGTAACAAGTTGCAAGACGAATTGCGCGTGCACGCGAAGCTTATGAGCAGGAGCTGTCCACGTAAAGGGATTTATTTGGACAGTGACCGAACACGGACGTACCGATACCCACGAAAAGTGTTATCGATACGTAATGTATAGTAATAGATAATCCCAGTGCCAGTAGTGTCGTCAAGATCAGTTATTTCCTGTCTTATGGAGGGTTAGTCTCAATATTTCGGACCCCGGAAGGTCGCAGCGTAATTTTGTTTTCACAAGCAACAGTAATGTCGTTACTGTGCACACTGATCCGTCGGCACCAGATGAAATAGAACAGGAGCGCGTGAGCGTCTTTTCGCGGTAGTCTTTGGCGAAATAAGGGTGGGTAGAATATATACGGAGCGCAAGTGCGTCTACTGTTCGCGTATCTCATGCGTTCGTTTACAACCGACATGTGCCCACGTGCTCTTGTTTGACATCTGAGATCAACCAGTGGCCGCGCGTACCTGGCTGCTTTGTAGACGTGTGTTTCTTGCCTATTCTCTAAATTGCGCGTTGATTGGCACGTTGTTTATGCGTATTTATGTTTTCCCGGTACCTCGTACAAACTCTCTCCTACGCGAAAGGCGCATTTTGGTTCACTTGCACGCCGTATTATGCGCTGCTTTGTTTCTATTCTTTTGGTCCCGATAGTACATGTTGCGCGTAGAAGGTTAGAAGGAAATGATCGGGTTACAAAAGTGTGGGAAATGCAAGACTATTTTCAGTTCAGAAAATTGCCCTCCCCCCACCCCCTTGCTTTCACTGCTTGCCAAGCTTGTGCTATTGCAAACTGTTACGAGTAATGAGAATCATGTATGCAGAACATATCCCAAGAACTAGGCAGATGATGCATAATACCACTGTGTCACCATGCGATTCAATAAATAAATACTTATCTTTCTTCAAACAACTATTCCGCAGGGCAACGGCACTGGTGCAGCCAGTGGGGTTCTAGTACCTTCTAGTAGTCCTGACCATCAGGACAATGGTGCTGTGGAGCCTGCCACAACAGGTCAAGGTGCTCGTAAGTACTTTCGGAAATCAGCATGCATATCGAGGTTACAAGTCTGTAATTTCTAATTGTAGCAGCGACAAACACCCTTGCTGTGGTAGCAGCTGCACCACCAGTAGCTGCACCACCAGCAGCTGTACAACCAGCGACAGCCATTGCCATGGAGGAGGCAGTTACGCCACCAGTAGCTGCACTACCAGCAGCTGCACCACCAGCGACAGCCATTGCTGTGGAGGACGCGGTTCCATCAAGTCCGCTAAGCCCTGGAGCCACCAACATCTCATCGGGGTCCGATCTGACATACTCCCCAACTCGTGACGAAGATTTTGAGAGGTAAGCTGTTCTTGTTTACATCCCATTTCGTTTCTAAATATTTTCTTGATTCTGCTGCAGCGATCAATACACACCAGGCCCACCAGAGGGGGAACGACAGTTCCTTGTGTTTGAGAGCTGCCTGAGGGAGCTGTTCAGCACCTGCCAGGAGTGTTCAAGGCCCTGCAACACCACAATCACCCCCCTGGGCACACTGATCAAGGTGAAAAGCATCTGCCCACTGAATCACGAGCGGATATGGGACAGTCAGCCTCTCATGAACGGGAGGGCAGCTGGAAACATCCTGCTGTCAAGCCACCTGCTGTTCTCTGGATCAAATGTCACAAGCACCTTGAGGATGCTGCGCCACATGAACGTGGAGGTCTTCAGCGATCAGACCTTCTACAGGTATCAGAAGAGCCGCCTGTTCCCTGCAATCGACGAAGTGAGCAATGTTTCAAAGGGTCTTAGTTTCTTCCTGTTTTTTTTTTCTTAGTGGTGCTTAAATAGGAGATCTAAAGGCAGAGAAGGGTGAAATCGTAGTTGAAAAATGACAAATGCACTTTAGTTTTGTAAACAAATACTGCAACATAGCCAGGGTTATGACTACTAAATATTTATTTACTTGTGTATTTAGGAGGTATTGAAATTACAAATAAACAAGTTTTATTTTATTGTGCACACATAACCGTAACTTTGTAAGGTTCACCTGGTTTGAACAGCAACGATCATTTACATAAACAGGTCTACCTGCAAGAACAACAGGATCTGATCAGACAGCTGGAAGACCAGGATGTTGACATCACCAGCGATGGCAGATTCGACTCTCCTGGGTTCTCTGCCAAGTTCCTGACCTACACTGCGCATGTTCAGCAGATCAACAAGATCCTCCACTCCATCCAAGTCCAGCTAGGAGAGGTAAGAAACCTGATCTGAGCGAAAATATAAACACTGCTTTGCTGGTCGCATAACTCGATTAAAATATGCCACACCTCTGCTTGTAGTCGGAGCGAGCCATGGCAAGTGTCAACATGGAGAAGGAGGGCCTCATCAAGCTGCTGGAATTCTTCAAGGAGAAACGTACGTGCACTCACTCAAGGCTCAGCAGCTGCGCAGCAAATTCAGCAACCTGACCTCACATTTAGTTTTATTATTGCAACTTTCTGGAATTATATGGTGCAGGTATCCATGTAAAATCCTTGGGCACTGACCGCCACCCTGCCATACGAAAACACATGGAGGTGCACGAACCTGGGACCGCCCACTACTTCGACATTTGGCACATCTCCAAAAGTAATCAATTTTGATAAGTATTGCATTTAACCTACATTTTCAGGGAAATATGCTGCAGGTTGATCTGAGTTATCTCGTCAAATCTTAGGTGTGAAGAAAAAGCTGAACGCAGCACGAAAACAAGCTGGATGTCAACCGCTTGAAGAGTGGACGAGGCGACCACCAACCACATGTACTGGTCTGCCATGGCTGCGGGAGGCAACAGGGAGCTGCTCGCCGAGATCTGGCTGAGCATGCAGAACCACGTCATCGACAAGCACACTGGTCATGGGGGCAGCTACATGCGTTGTGTGCACTAGGAAATTCTCGATGCCACAAAAATGTGGATGGATCCCAGTAAGTTATTGCCTTCATAGCCTAGTTTGCTTTTCCTAAACCACATTCTTTCTTCAGACTCTTCGGCCTACAGTCACTACTAGCAGATCACTGGGAACAAGCGCCTCCTAAAGGACCTGGCCCAGATGCCCCCCCACGGCCAGACATTCGCTCTGGAATCCTTCCACAGCGTCCTGATTGACATCGCTCCCAAGTCCCGGGCATTCACTCCAGAAGGCATGCGTGCAAGGTAATATTATGAGTAAACTGCATTAATGTTTATTCAGTTTGTATATAATCGTTTGTCACCTGAACCTACTACGACCTGACTTAGTCCTTTTCCCCAACGACTAGATAATGGTCTCGCAAAGTACAAAAGAAACGGTCGAATGACAATTATTATTGCAAACATCATTCCTAATAAAACACCATTTCACTGCAGGACCCGAGTGGCAATCTTGCATTTCAATGAGAACGCTGATCGCTGCCAAGCTGAGACTCAAGAGGGCAAGCCACGCTGGGCGGTGAAAACATCCAAAGCACGCAAGGGACACCACATAGCTTGTCCCGTCAAGACAGCACCCACCTACAGTAAGTGTGGCATTCATTTTATGGTCGTTGACTTGCTCGATCAACGACCATAAAATGAATGCCACACTTACTGTAGGTGGGTGCTGTCTTGACGGGACAAGCTATGTGGTGTCCCTTGCGTGCTTTGGAAGTTTTCACCGCCCAGCGTCGCTTGCCCTCTTGCGTCTCAGCTCGGTCATTTGATAAAGTAAAAAAAAACAACCTTCAATTCCAGGCTACGTTCACAAGCTCGTGGAGGAGGTAATCGTAATCAATAGTCGATGGCGGTGTCTTGCTACTGCGGCGAAGGCCAGCACAGACATCTTTCCGGCGCCCATGACTGCGGCCTTTGATGGCCTTCAAAGGAGGCGTTAGTGGAAGCACGGAGGTCCCGCTTCGGCCGTAGTCTGCAGTAAGGGCACTCTTTAAACTCATGTTTCATTTCCGACCTGAACGAAGTATACCTGCCAGTTAAAATGAGCGTCCTAGTACATATATGACAATACTTTCACAGGACTCCCTGAACATCGCCATGCCCTCCATGCAGCCTGCCATCCCATCCTCACAGCCAGTGGTAAGTGTGGCTGCAACAAAGCGATAACCGGCTTATAAATACGCAACCTTTTCTCTACAGAAATGCCCCGGGCAGTACAAAGTCCACTCATTCGTCCCGCAGTCTCGTCATGAAAGCCAGCAGTAAGTGTGGCCGCTGCACGATGCTAGCAGTCCTGTAACCACGCAACCTGTTTTCTACAGAAATGCCCTGGGCAGTACAAAGTCCACTCATTCGTCCCGCAGTCTCGTCTTGAAAGCCAGCAGTAAGTGTGGCCGCTGCACGATGCTAGCAGTCCTGTAACCACGCAACCTGTTTTCTACAGAAATGCCCCGGGCAGTACAACGTCCACTCCTTCGTCCCGCAGTCTCGTCTGGAAAGCCAGCAGTAAGTGTGGCCGCTGCACGATGCTAGCAGACCTGTAACCACGCAACCTTTTCTCTACGAAATGCCCGGGGCAGTACCAAGTCCACTCATTCGTCCCGCAATCTCGTCATGAAAGCCAGCAGTAAGTGTGGCCGCTGCACGATGCTAGCAGTCCTGTAACCACGCAACCTTTACTCTACAGAAATGCCCCGGGCAGCAAGTTTCTCTGCAGCAAAGAGTGAACCAGCTTATAAAGAAGCAGGTTTGTTTTACAACACTTACACCAGGTGAGCACTACCAGGAAAGAATGGCCAACCCTGAAACCACAGACCTACAGTAAGGAAATGTGTTGATTTGCAATCATTTTTAAGTAGAATTGAGACCTATTCTAACAGTTGTGTTTGGATTTTAGGACCACGAGAGATGCAAGCTTTGACGACTGATATCACCGGCCAGTGTGGATGTTAAAGGACAAAAAACATCAGCGAGCAAAGCAAAATATACCAGGAGGCCCCCATTTTTCAATATTTGTTAGCAAGGAGTGAGGCGTAATATTTATTTGAGAAAGTCTGGTCAGTATAATTGTCTTCGGCGCAGCTACATTAGGGAAGTAAAGATAATCAGGACCCTATACTTACCAGTGGGCTACCATCTCACGGACTGTTCATAATGGGATCTCGACCGGAGTGTGACATTGAAACCAAGTAGAAGGACAGGGTCTGTCATTGCATGCCAGGAATTTTCAACATTGTCGAAGGAAAAATAGTCGGTTTACAGAAAGTGTAATGCATATTCAGTTAAAGCATACTAATGAACGTGTTCATGGAACGTTTTTTTTATAATTGAAGCATCTAATACCCTGGCGTTGATTTTCCATTTCATGTGCTGGCAAGCTGACAGGTTGAAGAGGAGTTACCACGATTACAGCACTGCTCGCCTGCGACTTTTTTAATAAATGGGGTTTTCAGCCAGGAGGTAGACTGGCAATGCTGAGTAAAGTTGTGCATAACTCGGATCACTCAGAGTTATTTTTAATGATATCCAAGCAGTACTGCCAGTCTACACCACGGTTTTCCCCTATCTGAATCATTCTCTTGTTTCACCTTTGTGCGATATCTCTCCTGTGTAGACCGGGAGGTGCACTGCACTCCAGATAGTTATAAATAAATGTTTGGAGTAACTTGTTTCTGTTTCACATGACTCATCAAGAGAAGGTGGAAGCAGATAGAATGTAACCTAAATATTACCTGTAGGATCCCGTGCATCAGGCATAAAAAATGGATAGAGGGCATTTTTTCCCAATAAAGGAATAGTGAAATAAAATTAAAAAATTGCTTCATGATTGTGCCCTGCAAATAAGCAAGTAGGTCTCGATGTACAGGGTTGTCCACTTTTGGGGTGCACACGGCATTGCGTGGCTGACACTCGGTGGAGCGCCGCAGTTGGCTGCCTTGTGAATTGGGGCCGATTAGAGATAGCCATTGTCAAAGCCTTTGCTGCGTCGTCTGCTACATGAGCAGCTGACGCGGCAATTACTCCTCTATGTGGCGAAGTAATTTTTTCTCGTGCGGGACACTTGCTGTGTGCCGGCTGGTTTACCTTTCTCAGAGGAACAAGTTGTGCAGAGCACTTGCAGATCACAATTTCTGAGTATCATGTGACACCAGGGATGTAAGAACAGTGCTTGCTTCGCCTCCAAACATGGCCGCTGTGCCGACACTGTAGCAGATCACGCGGGGGAGGCTTGGCCCCTGGCTCTCCCTGAGGTTGCGCACTAATTGGCCCTAACTCGCAAGGCGCTCACCTGCGGCGCTTCGCGGAGCGCCGGCCACGCAGAGTGGACGACCCTGTACACCACTCATGTTTGTATACCTCCCCAAAGAGAAACTCGCATGACAAGGACATGGCCAATGTTTCCAAAAAAGCAATCGCATTTTACGACCTTCACAACATACATGACCGATTCACATATCTTTAGTGCCTTTCAAAGATCACATGGCACTATTGACACTTTGTCAATCAACGAAGGAATCATTACTTCAACATTTCTAACATCACCAACAATCTGTGCTATTCCATGAAGCAGAGCTGTAAAAATGCTAACGCTACAACAGTAATCACAACAAGAAAACTCGTAATATGCAGCAAAGCTAACCAAGGGTCCAGTAATGACCCAAAGCACACCTCAACCATCAGAATCTCCCTTTTCCCAGACACTGGCAACGCCACACAAAGCCAGACATGGGTGGATACTAACCCATGGATTCCTCTTTGTCTGGCATCTGTCCTCTGGCCTGTCTGGCATGGGTGACCCTGGCCGGCATAGCCCAAGAGGGTCATTTGGGGCACACAAACCCCTCCACCACAGTAAGGTAGGAATCCTCTCGGGAGGGGGGGGGGGGGGGGCAGGCAAGTGAAAAAAATTTTTCAATGTGGCTATAGCTTTTCGTACATTGTTTTTACTAACTTCTGTCTTCGTTTATGTTATTGTTATGCTGTTGTGGTCCCGCTATGAAAGTTTGATAATAATTCTTCATTTGTTTTCCTTTTGTTGCGAATATATCACAGCCCTTCCCTTGGAAGTTTGCACCAAAGAGGAAAAACGAGCAGGGTTCCGGTTTATGTGGTCTGAAGGTGTGGACACTCAATTCATAGACACTCCGTTGAGCGAGACACTGGTTCCCTGCTCGTTTTTCCTCTTTGGTGCAAACTTCCAAGGGAGGGGCCATGATCTATTTGCAGCAAAGAGAAAACAAATGAATTATGGTCAAACTTTCATAGCAGAACCACAACGGCATAACCATAAAATAAACGAAGACAGAAGTCAGTAAAAACAATGTATGAAACATTATAGCCACATTGCAGATACGTTTTGACTTACCCTCATATGTTTGAGCCCCCAGAGTTGCTTTCAGTGATTGTGCCGAAAGCCAGAATACGAAGTGTCGGGAAACCGGCCCCTGATGGCCTTCACCACACAGGATGGCAGTGGTCGCCTGTTGTGCTGGCCAAGGCGCCTCCACAGCCACAGGACGCACTGCCGGTAGGCGGCGCAGTGGTTGCGCCTGAAAGAATAACCACAATAATTTCTTGTAAGACGCAATATCACAACCTTTTAAAATTGCAGATTCTGGGCTCTATCAAGCAGAAACAAAAAAAAAAGTGTGCTGCAACGGGCCCTCATGCCTGGAGCAGCAACCTATCTAAAATAACCCGAGGAGCAGAGCAAGTTCTAGATTGTGTCCATTATTCTTCCCACAAATTCAATTTACATGTGTGTACATTATATTATGTTGCTAATTGAACCGCAGTAGTGCATACTCCATGTACAAGAAGGTAGCAGCGGGTATAGGGCACAAGTGCAACCATTTTTCGTTGTAGTTCTGCATCGTGTAGTAATGGGCCATAAATCATCACAAAGAACTGTTAGAAAAAGTCAATTCCAACAGACCAGATGATCAAAGCCTAACTTGCACAACAATATGCATGTCACAAACCCTAAAATATGCGGCAGCACTGTTCATGCTGACTCGATTGAACTACTGCAGCTCTTTGTGGCAAAGAGATGCAGTACTTCACGCCAAAGAGACGGGGCATTGCTTTTATCATAATTGCATGCACGCTATCAATAACGTTCGGATAATTCAGAGGGGGACTTCAATGAAGCTAAGGGAAATTAGCTTTTTTGTTGTTTTTTTATCTAGTGTTCAAAGTCTCGACGCACCATTTCGTCTGGAAGCTGCACCTGCCGGAGTGGAATCAAGGGGCAATGATCAAGGGGCACATTCCGCCGTGATCAGCTTTTTTAACGACACAATTGCAAGCCCGTCGCTGCTACCGAGGAGAAAATGGCTATATCAAAGCTTCAAAGGCATCCCACGGGGTTCTCGAGTGGCGCAGCAGTCAGAGGCGAAACTTGAGCGCACTACTCCAATGGGTGTGAACACTGCGTTCAGTAGTATACCCTGAACGTAGCGTTTATGCATATTGTGCCAACGTTTGTTGCAAAAGTTACGCCCGTTAGGTGCATAGTGTGAACGTTATATTAGTGATGGGACGAATCACCGGAGTTTTGGATTCGGACAGATTCGGAGATTCATCAGATTCGTCGCTGGTTGCAGAAGGCAGTGTGAAAATAGTCGTAAACATCGCGAATGGGGTCAGTCGTGCTTTTCTTAGGTACTGTTACTGCATATAACCAGATTTCGTGCTTCTTATTTCAACATATGGTATGTACTAAACTTTCGTTCTGAACCCTGGCAGGCGCCAAGGTCCAGCTGAGCTGATCAGTGTGGTTGCGTGGGCCTAACCAATGCACGGTTTCGCGGTGATCAGTAAAATGTAGCAAAATGCTCTGTAGTATACATTATGTGACGCAACGCACAATAAATATATATTAAGGCAAGGAAATGATTTGTCTCCTTCTCTAGAGCTGCGTACGTCTGCACCTGTAAGGCGTGAAAACTAGATGAATGTTGCTCGTCACAACTTCGACCA